GGGGGGGGGGGGTAACGCGGGGCAGCGCCTCCCGGTGCGGCAGAAGGCCGCGAGGCCGGGCCGTCCTCCCGCGCCCTGCCCCCGGGCCTCGCCCCGTCGCCCGGCCGGCGCCCCGCGGTCCGGCTCGGTTACGGCGGCGAGCCCGGCGTCGGTGCGGGCCGCGGGGCTCGGCCTTACCTTGTGGATTCTCTTCAGCGCCATTGTGTGCGCGGTGCGAGGAGGGGCGCGGGGAGGGGGCGGCCGCGGGGAACTACTTTCCGCGGGGGAGGGGAGGAGGAGGAGTGCGGAGGTGGCGGCGCGGGGGGAGGAAAAGGGGAGGGAGGAGACGAGGGGGAGGGGAGGGGGCCCGGAAGGCGGCGGTACGGCGAGGGGCCCGGCGCGGCCTCGCGCTGCTCCGTCGGCCGGCCGCGCTGCGCTCGCTAATGCCGCGCCGCGCCGTTCGCTCCGCCGCCGCTTTATGCGCTGCGCTGCGCCGCTCTGGCTTGACCCCTTCCGCGTATCGCTCCGCCGTGCCCTGCCCGCCGCCGCACCGCCGCCGCCCGGAGCGAAGCGGGAGGAGCCCGGGAGAGAACGCCGCGGGGGGAGGGCCGGAGCCGGGCCGGGGGCGCGGAGCCGGGCGGGGCGGGGGCGGGCGGGAGGCGCGGGGACTATTTGCCGTACGGCGCGCGCACAGAACTCTCCAGAAGGGGGAGGGGGAGAGCGCGGAGGGATACGACGGTGCCGCCGCGCGTGACGCAACAATCTCGCGTGAAGCAAACGCCTCGCGTGACGCAAAACACCTCGCGAGACGTAAAGGTCTCGCGAGTAGTTGGGGCGGGAAGAAGTCTCGGCCGCGCCGCCGATATGAGGGGCGGCGCCGCGGGAGCGCGCGGGAGTTTCGGGCAGCCTGCGCAGTGACCAGCGCGCGGCGCGGAGACGGACGGGGGCCCGGGCTGTGCCGCTGTCGGAGCTGGGAGGCCGTGCTCGCGGCAGGTCTCCAGCTCCTGCTCCTTTTCAGCCATCGGAGGACAGCCTGGTTCCCGGTGTGTTCGTTTACAGTGAATTACAGCGGGGTTTTTAACCTCACCCGTCCGCTTACCTTCAGATGCTCCAGCAGGGCCGCTCCCTGCCCTTCGCATTCTCACGTGAAGGGCTCGAAGGAGAGACGGGGCGGTGAAACCCTCAGCTCCGCGCCGCAGCTGTGTGCATCCACCCGCTGGCTGCGCCCAGCTGCCCCGCGCGGTGCTGGCAGCAGGGCTGCGCTCGTCCTGCAGCTCCGCGAGGCCCTGGGGAGGCACAGGCTCTCTCTGCTCCCTCTGGCTTTGCTGCTGCTGCCCTTTCTACGGCAACTTCAGGTGTTTCCTCCAGCAGCTTTAGCACACAGAGTGTCTCCCAGCACACAGAGCTCTTTCGCCATGGCTGGGCAGAGAAGTGCTTCAGGCAGCAGCTTCACATCCCCCTCTCATGCTGAAAACAGCCTGTGGCTCTCAGAGCACCAGAATGCTGTCAGGATTGCAGGAAGGGCAGCCTCCTGCTTGGCTCTTCTGCTTTACTTTACACTGCTGCTTGGGCAGTTCTCGGGACGCCTTCAGGTCACAAATCCTGAGGACTGGGCCCTCCTTTTTCAGAGCTCTGTGGATTTTGTCACCAAATTGGAAAACTCAGTTGAGCTCACAGTGGCGACAGAAGCAGCCTGGATTGCTGTTTGTTCCTTGTTGAGCTCTGAAAACCCCCTTTGAACAACAGTTCAGGTTGGATATTAGGAGGAAGCTTTTCACACAGAGGGTGGTGAGGCACTGGCACAGGCTGCCCAAGGGGGCTGTGGATGCCCCATCCCTGCAGGCATTCAAGGCCAGGCTGGATGTGGCTCTGGGCAGCCTCGGCTGCTGGTTGGCGACCTGCACACAGCAGGGGGTTGGAACTGGATGAGCGCTATGCTCCTTTGCAACCCAGGGCATTCTGTGATTCTGTGATTGTAGAACTCAATCCGGATAATCAACATCTGTGAAAGTAACAGTTCAAAAACACTTTCGTTTTCATTTTTCTGCCAGGGACGTTTTTCTATTTCCTACCACATGGATGTGAGCTCTAAGGAATGTAGAAAATTCATTTTCATAGTTGTTATTGCAGAATCACAAAATGGTTTGAGTTGATGGACCTCTAAAGGCCATCCGGTCCAAATCCCTGCAATGAACAGGGCTGGGGTACAGCTGGATGGCAGCTGGACATGGGGCAGCACTGAGCCCCCACGGCACCTCCCCCGTCACTGATTCGTGCACAGGGGACGTGGCTGCACAGGGCCAGGTGAGCTGAGAGGCTCTCAAACAGCCCCACGCTGCCACGTGCCCCACCTCGATTTCCCTTTCCCACACCACAACTCAAACCCAGAACTGACACAGCTTTGAAGCCTGATGGAAGTGAGTTCTGCAGTGATTTGCTCTCGGTCTCAGTTAAATGTGCTTAAAAACACAGAGCTGAGAACCCCAATGGATGTGTGAGGAAATTGCAAGGAGGCTGTGAGCAGCATGCGGCCAGCAAGGCATTAGGGCAACAGGAGCACAAAAAAAAAACTGTCCAGGAGACGGAGGTTTTTCTTCATGCATCAAAGCAATGCTGGGGGCTTAGTTTGCTTTTCTATTGGTTTTGCTTTTAAGCCATGGGTTTTTCTACAAGAAGAAAAAGGCTTTGGGGGAATTGCAGCGCACGACGATCCAAACAAACGCACTGTCCTCTACGCAGGCACAGAAATTGTTGCTGTTTTGTTGATGTGGTTTCCATTTCTGGTAATTGCTGCCCCATCCTCTCATGGTTGCTTTGTTTGTTCTTTCACAAGCTTGTTCTGGTTTTGGTGCAAACCAAACTAAAGCTCATTTTCATGGCACGGGGGATGTGTGCCCCAGGACCGACTCCTGCCCAGTGTCTCTCCTCCACGAACCTCCCTCAGATGCAAGTCCTGGCCAAGAAGGCAGCAGTGGTTTCCTGTAAGTGGGTGGGAGAGGAGGAACAAGGAAAGAACACGGCCACACCCCCGTGTAGTCACAGCTGCGCAATGGGAGAAGGAAGCCAGGCGTGCACAAGGTGGCACCTGGAGGACGGTGGCCAGCGGTCAATGGCTGCATGTGTGGATGGAGATCAGGGACAAGTGGTGGCCCTCCGGGGTCCGTGCTGGAACTGATGCTCTTTAACATCTTCATCAGTGACGCTGAGAGTGGGATTGAGTGCCCCGTCCCTGCAGGCAGCCAAGGTTTGTCTGGATGGGCTGCGAGCACTGCTGGGTGTCCCTGTGCTCTGCAGGGGATGGACTGCACGGCCTTCGGGGTCCCTTCCAACACGGTTCTGTGATTCTATGATTCTCTGACCTGTTACAAATGAGAAGTGGCTGGAAGGCGTGTGTGCCTGCAGCATCACGCTGCTGTGATCTCACTTCACTCAGGCCCATGCTGTGCCCACTGCCCACATGGTGGGACATGAGGAAATATGCGGATGCCTGCTTCCCTGTGCCAGGAGCTGGGTGAGAGGCAGCTCACAGCAGGAGGGCAAAGGCTCCTGGGACCTGGGGGCATTGCAGGTGTCCTGGCACAAGAGCGGGAACACCTCAAAGAGCAGCAGACTGGAACAGCCCCAAAAGCAGAAGGGCTCCTCCATCCGACACATGCACAAGAACCCACTGCCATGGGCACTGCAGGTGCTGGCAGCTTAAAGGACATCGAAAGAAGGCTGATAAATCTCAGATTTATCTATTATCAAATGGAGAAAATCTCTCAGGGAAGAAGCTCTGGTGTCACAGAAGAGTTGAGAACCCCAATGGATGTGTGAGGAAGTTCCAAGGAGAGGGCAGGAGCTCCAGAGCATCCAGTGTGTGCAGACAGGAGGCAGGCACAGGGCAGAGCCTGGAAGCAAAAACGAGATGGGCGTAGAATCATAGAATCATAGAATCACAAGGTTGGAAACGACCTATAAGATCATCCAGTCCAACCGTCTCCTCATCACCACTGCCACCACTAGCACTAAACCACATCATGCAGCACGTCATCCAGGCGCCTCTTGAACACTGCTAGGGACGGCGACTCCACCACCTCCCTGGGCAGCATTCCAGTGCCTGACCACTCTCTGAGAGAAGAAGTTATTCCTCATGTCCAACCTAAACCTCCTCTGATACAACTTGCAGCCATTGCCCCGTGTCCTGCTCTTTGCCTGGGAGAAGAGGCCAAATCCCTCTTCACCACAACCTCCCCTCAGGAAGTTGTGCAGCGCAATGAGGTCTCCCCTGAGCCTCCTCTTCTCCAGAAGAAATAGGGCAGAATAGAGTGGGGGGATTGAAAAAGCAGGAGAGTGGCACAGCCACGGGCAGGAGCTGGGAGTGAGGAACAGACCCGTGGTACAGGGGTAAAAGCAGGCACCTGCCTGTTTTGGCCAGCCTTGGCACTGGGGAGGCGCACGGCTCTCTGCCTGCATCAGGAGCCCGGGCTGTGGCAGCGCCCAGGTGGGTAAGCAAGGTGGGCAGGAGCTCCAGCCATACCCTTGGTGCCCATGAGCAGAGCCCCAGGCTGCTGTGTTGGGAATGCTGTGTCAGCCTCACTGGAGGAATCCATTGCTGCTGAAGTTCTGCTTGCTTTGGAAACCCACTCGAAGCGAAAACAAGCTTGCTTTCATTTCCTTCCTCATTCTATCCTTTGTGAGTTGGCAGGGGTGCTGGGGTTTTCCAGAGCCATAAACTCCTGCATGTTGTAACCTGCAGCATTCCCCCTAGATGCCCAGGGCCCAAAGCCACAGACACCCCTCAGGTGCCCAGCATGGGAGGCTCCACGCCTTCCCTTGCCACTTACAGCTGCCAGAGCAGCTTTCATTTTCATTTTGTTCTCCATTGGGTTTGCAGCAGCCGTGCAGCTCTGCCCTCTCCGTGCGCCGGGAGCTGGTGCCGACCCTGCGCATAGCCGTCGCGTCCAGAGGAAGCGGAGGCTGTGGCTGTGCGTGCTTGAGCGCTGCTACGCCCACTGCCCTCGGCGCAGACATCGCGGTGCCGAGCATCACGGCTGCACCTCGGTGAGTGCCCACGGGTGCGGAGCAGGGTGGCGTTAGCAGCAGGGGCGGCAGAGCGGTCGGCGAGGCGCCGGTTTGGGCTGTGCTTGCGAGCTTTGGAGCGCTGACTGAGCTCTGGGCATGCACGTCCACGCTCCGCCGCGCTGATGTGGATCTCGGGGGTCCCGGCTGCTGCCCCCCACACCCCCTTCCTGCTCGCAGATGCCCCAGGATCCGTCGACGTCGACAAGGAGCAGCCCTGCTGCCCTGTTCGTCCCCGAGCCCCGCGCGGGGCGGGCACAGCATGCGGCATGCGTGCTGCTGGCTGTGTGCTTCGTGGTGCTGCTCCTGACTGGGGAGCCCCTGATGTCCATCACCCACCGTGCCTGCACCCAGCTGGCGGCCCTGCAGCTCGGGGTGCTGCTCAAGAGCTGCTGCTGCCTGGCAGAGGAGATTTTCCACCTGCACTCCAGGTGAGCACCACTGGGGGATCCGCTCCCTGTCTCCAGCTCCCACCTGGCCCCTCCAGCCCAGGTGTCAGCCACCTCTTGTCCCTCGCCCATCCAGGCACCACGGCAGCCTCTGGCAGATGCTGTGTGCCTGCTTTCCTCCACGCTGGCACCTGGCCCTGCTCCTTGTCAGCGGCTCAGCCTACCTGGACCCTCAAGAGGACGACGGGCACAGCCCCCGCCTCGCCCTCGCCTGCCTGTGCCAGCTGCTGGTCCTCGCCCTCGGGCTGCAGGTAAGGGGATGCTCAGCAGTGGTGTTCAGCCACCTGGCTCCGTATGTGCAGAGTGCTGCTGCGAAGGGGCTGGGCACACCCTGCCCTGCCCTCCCATCTGCAGGGCCACCACCGCTCTGGGTGCTGGCACAGGCATCGCCCTTTGCCCCCTCTGAGCCCCGCCGCTGGTTTTTTCCTCCTTTTCCCTCTGCAGAAGCTCTCAGCGGTGGAGGTGTCAGAGCTCACTGAGAGCTCCAAGAAGAACGTTGCTCACGGCCTCGCCTGGTCCTACTACGTCGGCTACCTGAAAATAGTTCTGCCACGTACGTAGCTGTTCCCCTGCACTATCACGGCTACGGATGGAAATGGCTCCCACAGCCCTGCCACTTCCACAGTGAGGAGCAGACCCCAATGCCGCTCTCCCCCCAAACCTTGCTCTTCCTCCAGGCCTGAAGGAGTGCATGGAAGAGATCAGCAGGGCCAACCCCATGCTGCGGGCACACCGCGACGCCTGGAAGCTCCACATCCTGGTCCCACTGAACTGTGACATCTGGGATGACCTGGAGAAAGCTGACAGCAACATCCAATACCTGGCAGACCTTCCTGAGACCACCCTGACCCGGGCAGGCATCAAAAGAAGAGTCTACAGACAGAGCCTGTATCTGATCAGGGATAAGGACAACAAGGTATGCTGGGGCAGCCCTGCATCCCCAGGTGGGTGAGGCATCCCCAGGTGCAGGCTGGGGATGGAGGCAAGGCAGAGCTGCACCGCTCAACCCATAGAACCACAGAACGGTTGGGTTGGAAGGGCCCTACGCCCCCCAGCCCGCCCCTGCCAGCTGCCCCTCGCCAACTCAGGCTGCCCGGGGCTCCTGGCGGCACGGGGCACCTCCAGGGATGGGCGCTGGGCGCAGCACCAAGCCCTCAGCGGCGCTGCCCTCCCCACGCCGTCTCCCCGCAGCCCAGGCCCTGCGTGCTGGAGTTTGCGTCCCCGCTGCAGACGCTGTTCGCCATGGCGCAGGATGAGTGCGCAGCCTTCGGGAGGGAGCAGCGGCTGGAGCAGGCGCGGCTGTTCTACAGGACGCTGCGGGACATCCTGAGCAGCTCCAGGGAGTGCGCGGGCACGTACCGCCTCATCGCCTATGAAGGTGAGCACGGCCGCTCTGCCGAGATCCCCGCCCAGAGCCCCGCCTCAGCACGGACACGAGCGTGGCTTTGCCTTTCCTCTTTCCAGAACCGGCGGAGGCCGAGAGCCACTTCTTGTCCGGGCTGATCCTCCGGCACCTGCAGCAGCAGCAGCGCGAGGAGTACGTGGTGCACGAGGAGCAACCCCTGGGCACCGGCTCCGTGGAGCTCAGCTTGCAGGTCAGCTCCTCTGACCTGCCCCAGCCTCTGCGCAGTGACCGCCCCTGAGCCCGGCGCTCCCTGGCACCCGGGAGCCTGCAGCCCCGTGGCCGTTTGCGTTGTGCATTTCTCGTGTATGCACAAGAATGTGTGGTGTGTTCTAATCGGGTTTTGCCTCGTGTCATATTGAGAGAGTTGAGGATGTTCAGCGTGGAGAAGGCGCAGGGGAGACCTCACTGCAGCCTTCCAGGAGCGGTGGGAGCACGTGAGCAGGAGGAGTGATGACTTTTTACATGGGCAGACAGTGACAGGAATATGGGAACACTTTTAAACTAAAAGAGGGGATTTAGGTTAGAAATCCTTCAGCCAGAGGGAGGCGAGGCGGCGGCACTGCTGCTCAGAGCTGTGGTGCCCCATCTCTGGAGGTACCCCGTGCTGTGGATGGGCCCTGGGCAGCCTGAGCTGGGGGGCAGGCAGCCCATGGCAGGGTGGGGCTGGGGGGCTGTGAGCTCTCTTTCAACCCAATTGTTCTGTGATTCCATGGTTCCATGACCTAATTATCACAGTCCTCAAAGGACCCTTCCAACCCAAACCCAACCCACTCTACGGTTCTATGATCTTGAAAGACCCTCCTGACCCTACATCCTGTGATCATGTGAAGTGTTTTCCTCTTAGGGGTAAGTTCATGATCCCAAATCTTGGGCTCATTGGCAGTGCCCCAGTCCCGGCCACACGTGTGTGTGTGCCAGGTCCCTGAGCTGACCCATCCCAGCAGTAATTACGCACACAGATATCCTCATCAGGCCTGGGCACCTCTACCCTCGGGCATCCTACAGCATGAGGAACCTCCCTGCATCTGCTCCATGCAGTCACTTTATGCTGGCAGCCTTCTGCAGCACCCAGTGTTTCTCCAGCCTCAGGTGATGTGCCAGGCCCCTGGCTGTGCGCTCTGCCTCACTCCAGCTGCAGCCCTGGCTGATTTAGGGCAAATGCTTAGACTGAAGAGAGGGCTGCGCCTGGACTCAGCCCACGGGGACATGCCTGGACCTCTCTGCAGTGAGAACACCCCACTGAGCATGCCATGAGCTGCTCAGCACCCAGCAGCACCCACACCGTTTGCCCACACGACGCATGCCCCCCGCCGCCTGATGCCAAAACCCCTTTGTCAGCAGCCTGGGGAGGCCACAGAGCTGTATGCTGCTGCTCTGTGCCTCGCTTTCCCCTTTTGCTAAAAGCAGACAGGCAGTTCAGTTGGATTGTTGCCTTCTGGTGCTGCAGCACCCCTGTATGGATTCGATCCCTTTGGTCCCTCCCAGCTTTCAAGACTTTAGCAAAAGGATGAGGCCACCTGAGAGCTCCCAGGTGCTCAGCCTGCACTTCCAGCCTCAGGGAGGAGTCAGCCACTGCAGGGCTGAGCACAGCTGCCTGCAGGCAACGGCTGGCTCCATCCTCTGAGCAGCCTCAGCTCCTCTCTCCAGCCTTCCTTCCCAGGACAAAGCCTGGCAGCTGCCACAGTCTATGCAAATACTGGGGCTGCATCCCCCATGCATAGAGCAGCACAGGGTGGGAAATTGCCTCTCCAGGCTCCAGCGAGCTTACAGGGAGATGTGGCTGCACATTGGTCCTGCTGGGATTGGAGATGGAACCTACGGCAGGATTCAGTAAGGCCTTAATCTGCAGCCTAATCTCTGGGCACCGCATCTGCGCAAGAGACGAAGGCGACAGATGAAAGGGTGGGGACCTCCTGCAGGGGGGAACACGCTGGTGCTGCCCTGAGGGCTCTGCTCACCCTGCGCGGGTGGGGCAGCGGCGCTGGCCCAAATCCACCGTCTGCCCCTTGTTCTGGAGAGCGGGAGCATCTGCTGGGCTGGAAGCGTGCGGTGCCAGGGCTGAGCTCAGCAGTGGGGCGCAGCCAGCGGCAGCTGCAGGGCAGCGAAGCCAGCAGCACCACGGCCCCCAGCTGCGTGCTTCTCTCTGCAGGGATAGTCGTGCAGCAGCAGCGTGCAGCTCCCTCCTGGTCTGGGCACTGCTCCCCATTGCCGCCCTCAGCAAGGCCAGGTTGGGCTCAGCATTGGGGACAGGCGTGGGCGCAGAGGGACGGCGCGGCTTGTTCCAGAGGGTCGTGCTGACGTCTGACAGCACAGCTCACGCTGCTGCTCAAGGACAAAGGCAGGGCCAAGCAATGGCAACGGGACAGCCGTGGCTGGCCGAGCGCAGCAGGCAGGGCTGGCGCAGAGGCAGCAACAGTAAGGCACAGCAGTGGAAGCTCCCCCAGACCTGAGCTGTTAGGGCAGCCGATGTTGCCCGCTGCTGGCTGGCACTCGCAGGGCAGTGCTGTCTGCAGCAGCCATTGTCACCACCTCGGGCAGGGGGTACAAAAGCCCCGACACCCCTGCACACCACCTGGGTCTGGGTACGCTCAGGTACCGGGCTGCCAACAGGAGCAGAGCTGTGTGTGGCTCTGTCTTAAACCTGAGCACCTGAGCGTGAGTGCTGCAGGACAGAAGCACGGCCCCAAGCCAAACATCCACAGCTAAACACTTCAAGAGGTGCCCAGCACGCGCTGCAGCCCGGCTTGGTGCTCTTTGCTGCAGCAGCACACTGCTGCTGGGGGGCTTCTGCTGCTGCTCCCTGCAGTGAGCACACTGAGCTTCCCAGCCAGCCCTGCAGTGTGACTGTAGGGTCCTGTGCACCCAGGGCTCAAGGAGCTGATGACCAAATTGGCATAGGGGACACACGTGGTGTTAGAGGCCTTGAAATGCTCTGCATACAACCTCTCCTTGCTGCAGCCTGTGTTTCATGCTGGAGATGTGTGGAGCACAGCCTCATCTGCAGGTCACCCATGCAGCTCTGCCAGGCTCAGACTGGAGCATAGACACCGCTGCCCTGTGCCCCTGGCCTCGTTCCGTGGGGACCATGCTGGCCCAGAGGTGCCTGGCACAGCCACCCACAGCCCAGGTCACCTTCAGTAGCAGGGCTGAGCTGGCAGCACCTCACAGGGTGGCACGATCCCGGCGTGCTGCGTCAGAGAGCAGCAGATCTGCTACCCTGCAAGGGCAGGCAACCCAGAAACCACCTCTGTGGGGTCTACCATCAGCCGGCGATGATGGGAGAGGCCCAGCATGGAGCAGGGAAGTGATTTCATGGTCAGGATTGGGTGAGCAAGGCAGAGCCAGATGTACCCTGGCTGCACAAGGACTGGGGCCAGGGCCGACTTTGGACACAGCTGCCAAGCGAGGCCGAGGCTTCCCGCAGCTCCTCCTACCCCAGCAGGTTCTGTTGTGTCTTTAAGCCCTGCTCTTGCACGTCCTCTTTGCCATGGATGAAAAGCCACCACTGCAGCCTGCCCTGCAACCTGCACTAATGCAGCAACTGTCAGGGACAGAGGGCTGGGAAGGGGGAGGCAAAGTGCTCCTTAATTCTTGCCTTTCTGTTTGGATACAGTGAATTTCAGATCTCTTTTTATGGAGGAATTTATGTATTAAAGATCACTACACTGGAAGCCCCAGCAATGTTAAGGCTGACTCCAGCTACACGAGCCAATATTTAAAGGAGGGGATGGAGCTAAGAGTTGCTTTAGGATTAGGATGAGAAGTGTTTTTGGCTGAGAAGCCAGTTCCAGCCCACATGGCCCCACTGGGTGCCAGAAGCCAGCCCCACATCAGGCACACGAGACCCTCTTAGGGTGAGCAGCCTGCCAGCAGGGCTGTACCTCTTGGAGATGCCCTCTCCAGGTGTGCCTGGGGATTTTTTAACTCCTACCTGTTCTGCTCAGAACTCCCAGCTGATGCTGACATCTGTGACTCTGGGTTTGAGGAGAGAGAATTCCTCTCCTGTTTTACTGCTGGGTTTAGGGGTTGAGAGGCCAGCATCAGTATGCCCGTCTGAAGCATGTTCCTGTAAAGGACACTTGGAGAGCTGGAAACATCATCCAGCTCTTCTGGGAAGCCTTGCTCCTCTGCTTGCTGCCCTGTGATGGATGGGGCATCTCAGACAGGTTGGGCTGCGCCTGCTGCATTGCTGAGCAGCAAGAAAGCTTTAAAAAAGGCAACTGGTGTTGCTCATCAACAACAGAATCTGTCCTTTACTGCAAGATGGTTCCTTCAACCTGGTTGACATCTTCAAAGACTGACATTTCAAGTCCTCTCAAACATATCTGGGTATCAATCCCAAGCATCGTTTAAAGGCTTTGGGATCGTTGCTGCTTGCCATGGGGAAATGACCTTTTTTTCTCTTTAAGCCTCTGCACGGTTTCTCTGGCCCACAGACCATGCAAAAATCAGTTTTGCTCAAAGTCAGAAGAACTTGCTGAGCCATTTCAATTCATCCAGTTTGCAGTGACAAAGATGATAAAGAACGCTTGTGTGTTCACACGCCAACATCAGCAGCATAAGGACAGACGTGGCTTAAAGGAAGAACTAACTTACTTGTGAAGCTGAGCAGCTGATGCGGATGTTGGCTTTCTCCCTCCTGCTCTTGCTGGTGGTTAGTGACTGGATCATGGAAAATGTGTTGAGGTTTCCTGTTTTTGCTTACATTCCCAGGAACAACTGTCTGCTGCGTCTTGAGAGCTCGTGCCAAGCATGTACCTTGGCTGTCATGTTTCTGCCTAGTGAAAAAGACAGAATGAAGTTTGAAGCTTTAGTAGTTTTGTAGTTTCGTCCTTGGATGTAAATGGTGGCATGGATGAAACATCTAGAGAACCCCCAAGCCTGACTTCTGGTGGTAAGAGGTAGCAAGGGTTCTCGGCTTTGCTGGTGCTCTCACACACCCAACAAACTCATTCTGACACTTTTGGAGCAGCTGGTAAAAAATCGTAGAACAGCTGAGGCCTTAAAGATCACCCACTTCTAACCCCTGCCATGGCAGGGTTGCCACCCACCAGATCAGCCTGGCCTTGAACGCCTCCAGAGATGGAGCAACCTGTTCCTCTGAATAAAAAAATCCTTCCCATTACCTAATGTAAATCTGCTGTCTTTTAGCTTAAAGCCGTTCCGCCCCGTCCTATCGCTACACACCGAGCAAAAAGTCAGTCTAAGGATAGCTGAGAACAGCTAAAAAGATTCATCAGGACTTGTTTTTGTTTGCATCCTTAGATCTCACCCCAATTAACCTCCCAAGAGCAAATCGGTCTGGCTGATAACTGTGCAGGCCCTGGGTTTTT